TGGGACCTTTTCTATCAATGGTTGGATGATAAAATACAATAATAGAATATTTAGAATGTTAGATAATAAGGAATATCTTTGTTTTTTCTTTTTCTTTTGTTATTTGACATCATATCTATAAAGTGTTTTTTAGGATAGATTTGGTATGATTATATGATTTGTTATAGAATAAATTACCTAAATTATAGTTATCTCATAAAGTATGAATGAATAAAATTATAGTCAAATGATTTTTTAATAATGATATGAGGACATATAAGTTTGGATTGATAATAAGAGTTATTATGTAACATAACTGTAATTAAGACTACGAAATGAACGCACAAAACTGATGAACCAACCGACACACTGTTTGTATATATGTACAGAAGAGAGCTGATGTTTTTTGTGTTTTGTTTGTTTTGTTTGTTTTTAAAAAAACAATAAAATTGTTTTTTTTTTAAAAAAGCGCCTGTTGCTGTGGGGGGCCCCACTGGAACGGGACCTTCTTGCAAAGGAGCTGAGTGATGGGATCCATCAGCTTGGCAAAGTCCGGAATGAAAGTCCTATAGTAATAGTCAGACTCCACATTCACAGCAGGCTCAAACCTTCCATCTTCAGAGGCATCAGAGTCAAAACTCCCAGCAGGGTCAATCCTTCCAGACACAACAATTGTTTATCAAAAATTCCTAAAAGGAAGGACTCTGGCTTGTACTCAATTTGTTCCTTAGTTATCTCCTCCAGCCAATACCTAATTTTTTGCCAATATTTCTGAGTTTCCTTGCATGACCACCACATATGGAAAAAGATACCTTCTATGTTTTGACATTTCCAACATTTGGGGCTCGTGTTGGGGTGCATTCTCGCCAATCTCGAAGGGGACAGATGCCATCTATAAAACATTTTGTATGAGTTTTCTTTGTAAGCTGCTGATTTCGTGATCTTGATGTTCCTATTCCAAATCCTTTCCCATTCTGCTAGGGTGATACTCCGTCCCACGTCTCTGCTCCAAGCAATCATATTTCCTTTAACAATCTCTTGTTCTAGTTCTGTTTTCAATAGTTGTTTGTAGAATTTAGATATATATTTTTTAATCGGGCCTAATAAAATTTTGTCTAAAGTCTGCAATTTATTGTAGATTCCAAATTCCTTAATGTCTTGTTTATATCGACTGTGAATTTGAAGGTACACCCACTGGTCAATTGTAAATCCTCACTCTTGTAATTCTTGTCATGTTTTCAGTTTTCCTTGTGGGTCTAATAAATTTTTGTATTTAATCATTTTAGTTATATCCAAATTATTAGGGTGTACTATTGCTTCCATTGGAGATAGCCAAATCGGTATTTTTAGATAGAGTTTTTTACGTACTTTTTTCCAATTAGTTAGTAGAGAGTCCCTGATAAGGTGCCTATGGAAATATGATTGCCTGGGTTTCCCAGCTTCCCACAGGAAGGCGTGCCATCCTTTCTGCATATCGTGGCCTTCTAGTATTAGTGTTCTTTTGTTAGTTAGATTCACCCATTCCTTTATCCATAGTAAAGTGGCTGCCGTATGATATATTTCCCAGTTTGGAAGGGCTAGCCCTCCTCTGCTTTTCAAATCTTGTAAGGCTTTTATGTTAATCCTAGCTTTTTTCCCCTGCCAAATAAATTTTAGCGTTATCTTATTTAATTCTATAAAACAAATTTATTTAATTTGATTGGGATTGTCTGGAATAAATATAGAAATTTTGGAAGTATATTCATCTTGATCAACGGAATTCTGCCCAGTAAGGAAAGCTGTAATTTACTCCAGGAATCTAAATCTTTCTTAGTTTGTTGGAGTAGTTTGTCATAGTTATTTTCTTTTATTGATTTGCTTTGTGGAGTTAGCCAAATTCCTAGGTATTTAATTTTTTTTGTCACCTGTATTCCCATCGATACCTCTAGCTCTTCATTCTGGTCTCCTGTTAAGTTTTTAGTCATTAGTTTTAGTCATTAGATTTTTAGTCCTACGACTTCTCCAAATCGTTCTAGTTCTTCTAATAGGTTATGTCCTTTTTCTATAGGTTCCTCCAAAAAGAAAACCATATCATCAGCGAAAGCTTGTACTTTATACTTTTCTGATTTAATCCTCAGTCCTCTAATTCTCGAATTTTGCCTAATGCATGTCAAAAGTGATTCTAGGGCGAATATGAAAAGCAGAGGAGGGAGAAGGCAACCCTGTCTAACCCCTTTTTCTATTTTTATTGGGCTGGTTTGTTCCCCATTTATTAGAATATTTGCCTGTCGGGTGTTGTAAATTGTAGTTACGATGTTTTCGAATCTGGTGCCGAGGTTCATGTTGTATATTTTTTGTATTAAGAAATGCCAGTTTAGATTGTCGAATGTTTTTTCAGCATCCAAAAACATAAATGCAAATTGTTTTTCCGGATGGGCTTCATAAAATTCTGAAATGTCTATCACTGTTCTTAAATTATTCTTAATTTGTCGAAATGGGAGAAATCCATTTTGGTCTTCATGGATATGTGTGTTTAAAACCTGTTTAATCTATTAGCTATAATGGAAGAGAATAGTTTATAATCTGCATTCAGGAGCAAAATCGGTCTGTAATTATTGATATATCTATGGTCTAGATCCTCCTTCGGGATCAGCGAAATTAAGGGTCCCCTCCATGAGTCCGGCATCCTAGCTGCTAAGAGTACCTCGTTAAATACTTCCAACATCAGTGGTCCAATTTGTTCTATGATTGTTTTATAAAGTTCTACAGGTATCCCATCTGGTCCTGGCGATTTATTGTTACTTTGCTTTTCTATCGCTGACTTCAATTCGGACCATATAATATTTTTATTTAATAGTTCTATCTCTTCCTCTCCAATTGCTTTATCATTTGCTTCCTCTAGGTACTTCCTTATTTTATCCTCACCGACTTCTTCCTTTTTATATAATTTTCCAAAATATTTATGGGTGATCTCTTTTTTCTTCTGTATCTCATCTTGCAAATTGCCTCTCTCGTCCATTAGTTGGTGTATCAGTCTTTTTTCTTTCGCTTTTTTGAGTTTGTGGGCTAACCATCTCCCTGGCTTGTTTGCATGCTCAAAATAGATTTGTTTGGTCATTTTCAGACTTATCTCCAATTTTTCTTCTTCAAGTAGATTCAGTTTGTGTTTAGTTGTTATTAACTAGTTTTGTATTCTTTGATTTTGGGGGTTCTTTTGTAGTTGGGTTTCTAAATCTTTAATTTCTTGTTGTAGGTTACTTTGTTGGGCATACTTTCTTTTATTTCTCATAGCATTGTAAGAAATTGTTGTTCCTCTTATAATTGCCTTCATTGCGTCCCATATATTTTGTTTCGAAGTTATTTCATTATTGTTTTCCTTTAAAAAAAAGTTGAGTTCTTCCTTCAATTTGTTAGTGTATTCTTCTTCTTTTATTAAATGGGTGTTAAGTGTCCATCTTTTCTTTGGTTTTCTTCTACCTCTCCAAGTTATTTGAATTGGGTTGTTGTCGGCCCAGTCTTTTGGTAAGATTTCACTATCTTTGACTTCGTTTACTAGTTCACCGTTCATCCGAGCCATATCTACTCTTGTCCAGATTTTATGTGGGTTAGAATAATAAGTAAACTGTTCTTCTTCTGGATTTAATTTTTTCCAGATATCTACTAGATTCAGTTCATTAATCATATCCTTACATGGCTTCGAAAATTCTCTTTTTCCTTTTTTATTCTTACTCGTATTACTATGATCTTTTCGATAGTCAGCAATAGAGTTAAAATCGCCAATCAAACAAATATTACCTTTTTCGAAGCCTATTATTTTGGGGTGGAGATGTTTGAAAAATTTACCTTGTTCATCGATTGGGGCATAGATTACTACCAGTAGAAATGTAATACAATTAATTTAAATTTGTACAACCAGAGTTCTTCCTTCAGGGTCCACCCAGATTAGCTCCACTTTTAAGTCATCTCTCACATATATTGCAATACCTTTCTTTTTGTGCTTATCTGCTGGTGTTGTGAATAGTTTTCCAAGTTTCGGACAATCTAAAAATCTTTCCTCATTTTTCCTAATGTGTGTTTCTTGTAAGCAAATTATATCAACATTTTGTTTAATTAGTTTAGTTAGAATCCTTCTCCTTTTAGATCTTGAGTTTAGACCGTTTATATTGATGGAAAGAAGTTTCCTTCCTTCCTCCATTTACTTAAATCTGCTTCACTTTTTGTCTTGTAACTATACGGCTCTCTTCTTGTGGTTGATACAGAGTTGTTTCTTCTCTTTCCTGTTGTGAGTTGTCTTTCCCTTGGATTTGAGCGGGTCTTTCTTCTTTGTTCCTGTGGCAGTTACGGTCTTCCTGCATGTTCCTTTGAGTTTCCTCCCTAGCGTGTTGATCCTCCGTAGTTGTTAGCTGTTCAAGGAAGTCTTGTGCTTGTTCTATAGAATCTATTTTAATTTTTCTTCCCTTCCATGATTTTAACATCCTTTCTGGGATTAGCCATTTGAATGAGATTTCTTTTTTGTTTAAGTAATTGGCTTAAAATTTATAGTCTTGCTTTATGGCCCTCACTTTTCTTGGAATTTGCTTAAGGATTGTGATCTCTTTGCCCTTATATAATATTCTCTCGTCTCTAGCCATTCTAAGTATTAGGTCTCTCACGCATCTTCTTGAAAAACGGATATGGATCTCCCTTGGGCAGTTGTGATGCCTTGCGTAATTGGTATTCACCCTATAGGGCCTATAGACTTCGTCGAATTCTTTGAGTAAGTCATCTTTCTCCTTTTCTAATAGTTCAGCCAGCAGACCTGCCATTAATTGCTCTAGTTCTTCGTTTTTGGATTCCTCCACATTCTGGAACCTTAGGTATGCCACTGCTCTGTTCATCTCCAGCTGGACCAAGGAATCTTCCATTTCTCTGTTTACATTTTTAAAGTCTTCCTCTGTCCTTTCTAGGTTCCTCTCCGCTCGTTCCATCCTCTTCTCTATTTCTTTTATCTTTATTTCAGTTCTTTCCATGGCCAATTGCATTGTCCCAACCTTATCTTCAACTTTCTCCATGTCTGCTCTCATCTCCACTTTTAATTTACCCATTTCATCCTTTAGTTCGCTAATATCTGCTCTAGTCTCATTGTGGTTCTTAATCATAATCTCCTGCATTTTGGACATTGATTCTTGCAGGGATAGTAGTGTCACTTGTAGATTAGCATTGGTGACGGTCGGTTGTTTTTCTCCTGTCAGGGTCTCTTCTATAGTTTCCTGCGTTGTTGGGGAGGCTGATGCCATAGTTGTCATCAAAGTCTGGGTGTTCTTCCTTCCTGTTTTCAGGGCCGTGGTTGTTGTGGAGGTCATCTCTAGTAAGATTTGTTTTTGCAATTGGACTATGTTAATTATATTGTCCCAAATCACCATTCGGTGTTATTGCCCCTTGAGTGTAGTTACAAGTCTGTTTACTAAAATTACACCACCAAGTTATTTTAGATCTCTTTCTTCGGCCCAATTTGTCATTTGGGCAGTTTGAATTCCAATATTATAGAATGTTATCCAATACTATATATTATTCTCTATAATGAGTTTATATACCAAAATTAATTATATTTAATGACTAATAAATCAATACCGTATCAAATCAAACTTGTTTAAAGCTTTCAAACAACTCTAAAATTTCTCACTCTATATATACCTTTATCCTATGTTGTGTATTGATATTGAGAGTTCCAGTTAATCTAAGTCAACCATATTTAACAGTCCTTAAGATTATTGTATATTCAAAACACTCTAATCAGTTAATACTTATGTCTATAAAAAGCAATTTACCTTTATACCTAAATTTGTAATTATTATAGGAAGAAAGGAAAGACTAAAAGAAAAAAGGAGGAAGAAAGGATGCGGGAGGAAAAGAATATTTTAGATTTTGGGGGATCACTAGACAAGTGTCTGTGGGATTAGTGCTGTGGGAAGACAAGTCAGAATTGAGGCTGGCATTTTTGCCTTATAGTCTTTCTTCCTGGGTGTACCGAGAGGAGCAGAGGGAGGAAGTGCTGACTAATTGCTGTCAGCGATCAGCGATCAGTCTTTGCCAAGCTTCCGTCAGTCTCTTTTTTTCTTCTTCTTCCCTCTTCTTCCCCTCTGCCAACAGTTATCAATCCACTGTTACTTAGAGTGCCCACTTCAAATCAGTCACGTTAGAGATCAGTTTTGTAGGCAATGTTGCTAAAAGGCAGACCTTTCATGCAGAAATCAGCGCATTGCTATCTCGCTCTCTACGCCACACTCTTCCCTCCTTTGTAGCTATACTCGTCTTCTAGGCTTCTCGGGATTCGGTCCCGTATGACAACCCACTCACAGGTCTCTTGAGTTCCCCACAGCCTTCTTCTCACCCCGACGATCTTCTTCCGAACACTATAATCCACACTTTCACTTTAAGAATCGAGCCTTTCCATCCGCATTTATCCCCCTTTCACTTTTTGGACCGCTTTTCTAGCCGCTTATCTCCAGCTTCCGACAACTGTTACTCACATTGAAACAGGGAGAATCAGACACCGATCTCTCTCACGACTTTTATAGTCCTTCCACCCTTTTCTGCTCCGATCTTACAGGCTGTCACTTTTCGCTTAATCAGTTCAGTGACAGGCCGGACTTTGGAGCCGCCATTTGCTGGTGGCTGGCTTGTTCGCGCTGGTCTCAGAGGCTCTCCCTTCATTGCTGGGGAGTTGCCTTCCCCCAAACAGCAACCCAGGGGTCCTCTATACTGACACGAAGCTCTACAGGTTTCGTGTATCCACTAAGGATCACTTCAAATGCGAGAAGAGGTGCTCGAAAACCACAGCTGGGCTTCTCCACCTCTGGATGTCCCTGTCCTGCCCCTGGAAGTCTGGTTGATCTGTAGTTTCCTGGGTCTGTTCTTCCCCAACTTTTTGAAGATGGGAACCATATCAGTTCTTTTCCAGTCTTTTGGTAGTTCTCCGGTGAAAGATGTGGTACAGTATTTTTTATTTCCCAAGACCTTAATGGGGTTTTCCATTTATACATAATGCCATTACTAATTGAACAATACTGTGACAATATATATATATATTTGTACATCCTATCCAATCTTTCAATACACACTACTCCATACCCTCATAACTATTGTAGACATTATTTACATTTTCTATTCTTATGTCTATTGTCGATCCAGATATACGTTTCCCATATTGCATTGTATTCCATGTCAGCTTTCCCTTTTAGTTCCATAGTTAATTTGTCCATTTCCATTCACTTGAAGATTTTTTTAATTATTAAACCTTTGGAAGGTATGGCATTTTTCTTCCAATACTGTGCATAAGAAATTCTAGCTGCTGTTACTACATGTAATATAAGATATTTTATCTTCTGTTATAGTTTCTTTTAATTATTCCTAAGAGAAATAGTTCCAGGACAAAATCAATTTTATTTTCAATTATCTCTTCCAACTACATATGAATCATTTTCCAACATTTCTTCGCTTCGGGGCAACACCACCAAGAATGAAAGAAGGCACCTTGTTGATGTCCATACTTCTAGCAATTTGGTTTTAGATTTGGGTAGATCTTAGCCAATCATGAAGGCACCATATATCAATGATAGAACATTTTGTGTTGGTTTTCCTTGTAAGCTGCCAATTTTATTATTTTATAATTGGTATTCCAAATCTTTTCCCTCTGTTCTAAATCAATAGTATGTCCACAAATTTCTACCCCATGCAATCATTGATCCTTTTACAATCTCCTTTGCTCTCTCCCATTCTAATAAGTGTCTATATATTTTAGATAATAATTTTTCATCTGGGCCAATCAAAATTTTATCTATTTTTTGTAATTCATTGTCTATTCCAAATTCCTCACTGTCTTTTTTATATCTTGTTTGTATTTGCATATAAGTCTACCAGTCCAATATTATTCCCTGTCTTTCCAATTCCCGTCTACTCTTCAGATTCCCTTCTCTGTCTAAAATTTGCCTGTACCTGGCCATTTTCTTAATTTCCATTATAGTAGGGCGGACTATTGCTTCCAAGGGGCATATCCAGTTTGGAATTTTCAGATATTTATTTTTTATTTGTCTCCATGATTGTATCAGCAAGTTTCTTATTCTATGTCTATAAAAGTATAGACACAGTTTGTTTTCTTTATTCCACAGGAAGGCATGCCACCCTCTTTGTAAGTCATGCCCCTCTATGGTTAATACTCTTTTATTTCTTACATTGATCCAATCTCATATCCATACAAGTATTGCCCCCTTATAGTATAATTCCCAATCTGGAGCCCAAGGCCACCTCTGTTCTTGCTATCCTGTAAATCCTTTAACATTATTTGCTGTTTCTTACCTGCCCAAACAAATTTAGTAATTGTTCTGTTTAATTATCTAAAAAATTTCTTATCTAATTTTATTGGAGTTGTTTGAAATAAGTATAAAAGCTTTGGCAAACATTCATTTTAACAGTTGCTATTCGGCCTGATAAGGATAATTGTAAAGTCCCCTATTTTTCCAAATCCTTTTTAATTTGATTAAGTAATTTCGTATAATTGTCTTCTTTTATTGAGGAGCATTTTGCTGTTAACCATATTCCTAGGCATTTAATTTTTTTTGTAATTTGTAGTTCCATTACACTTTCTAACTCCTTCTTGTTTTTAGGTATCATATTTTTCACCAATATTTTAGTTTTATCCCTGTTAATTTTGAGTCCTGAGATTTCTCCATGTTTCTCTAATTCCTTTATCAGAATTGGACCTGATTTTAATGGCTCAATAAAAAAAACCAAATAATCCATGAATGCTTGTAATTTATACTCCTCTTTTTAATATTTTGTTCCTTGTATTTCTGAGTTTTTCCTAATTTTTATTAATAATGTCTCTAGTGTCAAAATAAAGAGCAGAAGTGACAATGGGCATCCCTGGCAAACTCCTTTTGTTATTCTAAATGTCTTTGTTGTACCTCCGTTTATTATTACATTAGCTTTTTGGGAAGAATAAACTGTTTCTACTAATTTTTTCAAATCTAACTCCAAATTTCATTTTCCTAATCTGACATATCATGAATTCCCAATTTAAATTATTGAATGCTTTTTGGGCATCCAGAAAAACAAGGGCCACTTGTTTTCTGGGATGAATTTCATAGTATTCTAATATGTTCATTACTATTCTGATATTATCTCTTATTTGCCTATACAGCAAAAATCCATTTTGATCATTATGTATAATTTCATTTAAAATCTTCATTTTTCCTGCCAGGATACTCATAACAATTTTGTAGTCGGCATTCAAAAGTGAGATTGGTCTATAATTTTTGATTTGATTAACATCGCTACCTTCTTTTGAAATCAAGGTAATATATGATTCCCTCCACAATTCAGGTATTTCTGCGTTTAACAAGGCCTCGATGCATATCTCTAGTACAGTTCCAAGGATTCCCCTAATTTTTGATATAATTATCCTGGTAAACCATCTGTCCCCCGGGTTTTATTTGCCTTTTGGTTTTGGATCGCTTTCTTCAATTCTATTAATGTAATTTCCCTATTTAATATATTCCTTGTTTCTTCCTCAATTATTGACACACTATCTTTTTTAAAATACTGATCTATTATCTCTGTTGCTATTATTTTTTGACTATAAAGATCTTCAAAGTATTTAGAGCAATCCTTTTTTTTTTCTTCTTCTTCATTATTTTGTAATATTCCAAAGCTGGTATACTATTCTTTTTTCAATTTATAGGCCAGCCATCTCCTTGGCTTATTTGCATTTTACTTCATAAATTTAAGATCTCTTGTGTCTTCCTGTTGTAAAGGATTTAATTTATGTTTGGCCAAATTGAATTGTTCTTTAATTTGATCGCTCCCAGGGTTTTCTGCATTTGTTTTTTTAAGTCTCCTATTTCTAATAGTAATGTGTTTTGTTGCCCCTATTTTTCCTTGTTCCTTTTTTCCATGTAAGATATTGTTACCTCCCTGGTGTATGCTTTCATCATATCCCATAGGGTTTGAAATGATGTATGTTGTTTTTTGTTTATATTGAAAAATAGTGTCAATTAATTTGAGATTTTTTGAATATATTCTTCCTCTAATAGTATCCGGGGGTGGGGTGTCCATCTTTTTCTTTTCTTTTTCTGGCCTTTCCAACTTACTTTAATGGGGTTATGGTCAGCCCAGGTGTTTGGGGGAATTTCAATTTTCTCTATTTCTTTACCTAAATCAATATTTGTCCATACCATGTCAATCCTTGAGTATGATTTATGTGGGTTTGAGTAAACTATAAATTTTTGTTCTGAGGAATTTAATGTTCTCCATATGTCAATTAGATTCAATTCCTCCCTCATATCAAAGAATGTTTGTGGTAGCATATTCCGTTTTAAAAATTTCTTGTTATTGCAAATGTAGTCTTTTGTAGTCTCTACTATTCCATTATAGAATCCAACTATGCATATATCTTTCTGAGCTATCTCAACAATTTTTTATGGTTTTTTTTGTAGAATTCTTTTTGCTTTTATTAGGTGCATAAATATTTACTAGTAGCATCTGTCTTTGTCCTATCTTTATTTCTAATATTAATATTCTTCCTTTGATGTCTGTGTAAATTTGCTTTGCTTCTATTTCTTCCCTAATGTATATCATCACCACCACCCCTTTTTTTTCTGCCAGTGCAGTATGGAGTTTCCCCAATTTATTGAATTCTAAGAACCTTTTATCTTGGTTCTTGATATGTACTACTTGGAGGCACACAATATCTATATTTTGCTTAATCAGTTTTGACAGTATTTGTTTTCTCTTGACTATAGGATTTAACCCATTTACATTTATTGACAATGGTTTTAGTTCTTTTTCCATGTTCTTGTTAGCCTATCTATTTCTAATTTCTATTGGTCTTTTTATTCCTTTGAGTTCTAGTTCTAACGCCTTCTTCCTTTTGGGTTTCTTGTGTTTCTTTTGCTTTGTCTTCCTGGTCTTCTATCTCTAATTCTAACTGGCCTTCTTCCTGACTTCCTTCCTCTAACTTCTCTCTACTACTATCATTTTCTTCCATTCTTGTCAATCGGTCATATAATTCTTGGGCTTTGTCCAGGTTGTCTATTTTTATCTTTTTTCCTTGCCATGAAACCAGCATGCCTTCTGGGATGATCCATCAAAACAAGATATTCCGTTTACTTAATTATACTGTCAGGTATCAATAATCTTTGCGTTGTTCTCTAACTCGACTTGGTATTTGTTTGAGAATGATAATTTATTTGTCCTTATACGCTATGGGGTCTTCCCTTGTTATTTTATATATTATGTCCCTGACATTCTTCTGGGCAAATTTGAGGTGCACTTCTCTAGGTAGCCAATGTCTGGACCCTGTAGACATCATCTATCTCTTTTATAATCTTTTGAGTATCTCTTTTCTGCTATCAATTCCACCATCAATTTTCTCAAGTCTTCATCCTTAGCCTCTGTTATATTCTGAAATCGTAAATAGAAAGAGGCGTGGTCCATCTCCAAATGGATCAGAGAATCTTCCAAATTCTTATTTATTTCCATCATGTGTTGGTCAACTTGCTCTATTTTTTTCTCTGTTCTTTCTGCTTTTGCTTCTACTGTTTTAATTTTTTGCTCATTTTTCTGAATCGCCTCTTGTATAGAATCAACCTTGTTGTCCAACTTTTGAATGTTATTAGACAATTCCCCATGGTTCTTGGACATAGTCTCCTGTAACTTCGCCATCATTTCTTGAATCATTATAAGTGTTGATTGCATTGTTGGCGTATTCTGTGGTTGACTTGATTTTTCTGTGTTTAGCATCTCATCTATTGATCTCTGGGTTGATGGAGATGATGTTGCTAATGAGGGGTTTGAGGATATTTTCTTCCCTGCCCTCAAAGTGGTCACCGCTATGCTGATCATCTCTTGCAGAAGTTTTTTTGCTCTCCTAGAATTTTATAGATACTTTCCCAA